GTTCAATATGAGAATTGAATTACTAAAATCAAGTAATTTAATTCACTTAATAGTTAGTTTCCTAGGAGGCGAACTCCTTGAAGGCTGTTTAAACCAAACTACCAAGAGACACTGTAAAATTAACTGGACTATTGATTGTTTTGACGCACAAGCACTTAGCACAAACACATATTCACACTCACCCCAAAGCTTGCAGCACTGAAAATGTATCTACCAGGAAACAAAATGAAACTCACTGCAATTTGAAAAACAGAACAGTAGGGTGTCACCCTGACTTTTGAGGAGCAAACAGAAACATGTACGAGGGTTTGATTTTTATTCCCTGGGGTCAGTTGTTTTGCAATCTCTCACCCAGAGAGCAGGAAGTCGAGTTTATCTATCACTATCAGTAAGCCACAAGTGAGGCCTACGTAAAAACGGTGACACACGTGTTTACCCTGGATACATTTCTGGACTTTCGTTTAATCGATATGTCTCTTTCAGTGCCCACATCAATTAATTTACTTAGTGAAGCTTTAATTTACTAAAGCTTTATGGTACCATTTAATATCTGGTAGGGGAAATCCTTTTCTTTTTCAAGCTTTCCACAGTCATTTATTTTCCCAAACAATCTTTTAAATGACTTGCTCATGGACGTCCCTGAAGTGAAAGGATCTATAAGGGCTTGTAAGAAAAATGATGACAGGCTTGGCTGGCATAGCTCAGTGGATTGAGCTCGGGCTGTGAACCAAAGCATCGCAGGTTCGATTCCCAGTCAGGGCACATGCCTGGGTTGCAGGCCATGGCCCCCAGCAACCGCACATTGATATCTCTGTCTCTGTGTGTGTGTGTGTGTGTCTCTCTCTCCCTCCCTTCCCTCTCTAAAAATAAATAAATAAAATCTTTTAAAAAAGAATTATGAATGAACATTTAAAAAAAAAAAAGAAAATGATGGCGGACATGAATGTTAACCCCCACACCTTTTATCAGCAGAAAAGGAGGAATGAAAAAGAACTGAAAATAAGGAAAAGCATTGTAAGTATGTGTAGCTCTGAAAGCTGCGTTATACTACACACTCTGAAGAATGCAGTCAGATACAACGCCACTTGGAACAAATGGAGACAGTCTCATGACTTATCACCAATCTCCAGCTCGGAGCACAGCGCAGAGTTGCAGGCCAAAGGGGAGGAAATTCCTAAGGCCCTCCCACCAGTATGAGGTCCAGGGTCATGGACAAGCAGCTGGAAGAATGAGAAACACTCCCCCCCGGGAGCCCACTGACTCATCACGGATTGCTGGAGGGTGACGTGTGAAGAAGCGCTGCCCTGCCAAGCACACCAGGTCTTCTCTGTCATCGTTTCCTGTCCCGCTGGGGCAGTGTCTAAGGCCAAGCCTCTCTCGCACAGAGAATCACGGTCACCTATTTCGTGGATGGGTCACGGGAAAGGCCTTCCCTCCCTTTGCAAGAGGGCTCTGTCTCCTGTGAAAGAAAGCCACGCCACGCGATGAACCTGAAGTCCAGTCTCCCTCAGAGTCTGCCACTAGGTTGTCTGTCCTTGTCTTTGTTGTAGTAGGTCTTCAGGGGTGGCTGAGGGAGAGTGGCCTCATTGGAGGCTACTGTGGACCATCAACTGTCCTGTAATAACCTGTCCAACCACAACGACAGAAATTCCCCAGAATGTACCTAACCTTGGAGCACGTCCCTGAGTCCATAGTCACCTGTGGAGGCCAACACTGACCCCAGTGCTGGGTGGGGCTGCTCGAACTATTGCTGAAATCCTCCTGATTGCCATCAGCGCTAGCGGCACTTTTCTTGGACATTTCGAGTCCACAAGTGATATTCTGTTCATATGGCATTTGGTTCTTAGAAACCGGTAAAACCCCTTCATCATATGCTCCAGTTTATAAGAGAAAAGTGCAGCTGGCTACGTTTTAATGATATATCTTTTATACACACACATAATGCTTTCACCATACACTGACAAAGACAAAGGGGACTGTGAAGCAATGAGACTAATCGATATTCTTTTGTAGTTCATGAACACATTTGGAAGGCAATCTCCAAAAGGGATCTTTAAGGATTTTTTTTAAAAAACACTAACAACATCACTGAAATAAATGTTCAGGCTTTCAAAGTAGCTACTCAGAAGGAGAAATATAATTAAGATGAATGTTTAGTATGCTTTTTGCAAGGGGAGGGGAAGATCTCATCAGAGTCACAATTTGTGCAGCAGCTCTTCCTTCTAAATGTTATTTTGAAAAGCTTAATAAGCAAATCTTTCCCTACCTACCTCCTGTACCCCTCCAGTACGCACCCGATTCAGTGCACCATCAGCTCCTTCATTTTCACTTCGGTAACGTCTCCTTCACATTGGACCTCCTTCTCCAGTCCCTCGACTGAAATCTTGAGTGTCTCTCTCTCTCTAATTTTATGCCTTGGTTCACAAGTTTATGGCTCCCAGCCCCATCCTGGACTTTCCCTCCCAGTCTCCTCCACCTGACAAAACCATACTAACCCCTCAGGGTCCAGCTCGAACTCCCCCTGAGGAGCCCGTGCTGGCCTCCTCACTCCAGCTGTCCTTCTGCTTGTCACTCTGAATCACCGTGTAGTGTAGAAACTCCACGGCCGGGGTGCTCAGTAAGCTATTTGTGGGGTGTCATGAAATGAAGGCTGGACTGATATCTCAGCCCTGGAAGTTCAGGGTCCACATGAGAGCAGATGACATCAGTTCATTTCCGTCAGGCAAGAGTTCAATTTGCTCAGAAGGAATGATAACATTAACCTTCATGTTATAAACATTAATGTTATTTTTAAATGTAAAAATTTAACATTAATGTTAAAAATAACATTAACAACAAATGGGACTGACTTTTACACTTCCGATCTCATTTCTCTGAAAATGTGTTAGGAAGTTTCCTGGGGACACTCAAAGTAAAAGGCACACATGAAGTCCTCCTCTGGGTTTAAAAAATAAAACCAGCTGGTGTAAAAAAATAAAACCAGCTGGCTGGTGTGGCTCAGTAGATTGAGTGCCAGCCTGCAAACCAAAAGTTGCTGGTTCAATTCCCAGTCAGGGCATACGCCTGGGTTGCGGGCCAGGTCCTCTGTTGGGAGCACATGAGAAGCAACCACATATTGATGTTTCTCTCCCTCTCTTCCTCCCTCCCTTCCCCCCTCTCTACAAACAAATAAAATCTTTCAAAAAATAAAAACAAAAACTATGACTCAGAGAGAAATGATCATTTGGAAGCCATCAAGGAGACAAGAGGAGCATTAGCCAGAAAATAAAATAGCACTACCTGGGAGTAGAAAGGTGGAGGATGCCCGCTGCGTGAGCCAGGATGAGAATCATTCCCAGCCTTCCGACAGCACGAATTTTAGGCAGCTCTCTGATGTCTGCCTGGCTTCCTCCTCTGATGTTCCCACGGAGAACATTTGTTGCTCCATTTTGCTCGTGCTGGAAAATTCAAAGGCAGGTATGACTGCCAGAGGAAAATATCAGCTGACTTGCTGTGAATGGTCTGATCATTTTTCCCCCTTGCAGGAGGATCTTACGGTTTTTCTTTTGGATGTGTGAGACTTTTCTGTAGTAAACCTATTGCCTGTTTATTTAGCCACATTTATTATAGTAAACAAGTACCCGAATGGTTAGGTAGTTGTTCCCACACTTCCCTGCTAATCCATCATCCCCACTAGTTTGAAACTGCCACCAAGGCTTCATACTTAGCAGGGAGGACAGCCCGTGATGCACTTCTTCAAGTGACAGGCAGGCTCTAAGGATGGGCTCACGGGTGGACCCAGAGCAACTCCAAGCCAATTGGACAATGACATTCAGGGAACCAGTAACTTAAAAAAACCAATCAACCTGTGGGGATTCATTAAGACTTTTGCTAGAATAATTTTTTTTTAACTGCACACTTTAAACTTAGAGTATGTGACACAGGTATTGAACTTGGAGCATTTCCGAGACACAGCATAACTCAGTCTAACTTAAGCTATGATTCCTCTTGTTGTGCATCAAATTCCATCCCTTTGTGTTAGAGATGGTTCAATTTTTTTTTTTTCAAAAAGCTTCCCTCTCACTCTAAGCATTCACTAAATTTAATTAAAATTTAGATGTAAATGACTCTAGTGGCCTATCACCACCCTCAGAATTAGACGGGAATTCACTGAGGTCAGAGAATAACGGGGCTTCTCAGCTGAAACGCTTGAAAACTCAGTCTAGCTGGGCACCCTCTCCTCTGGCCTCGATTCTCAGGCTCTCCTTTCACTTAGAAAGCGTCTGCTCAAAACAGTTTCTTTTTCCTGTTGATCGGATCAAACCGTTTATTTTCTTCTCACATTTACCAGAAGACAGCATGATGTTTGACCAAGCAAACCATTATGCAAAGCAGAAATCAGGTAGCAAAAAAGGGTAAGTCGGACTCTTAACCACATGGCTCAGTTGGTTGGTCTGTACCAGGGTCGGCCGGCAAAGCAAAAGGCTGCTGGTTCAGTTGGAGGTCAGGGCACACACCAGGGTTGGGGGCCTCCTCCTCAGTTGGGGGCATGAGAGAGGCCACAGATTGGTGTTTCTCTCCCTCTCTTTCCCTCTCTCTAAAAATAAATAAATAAATAAAGCCTGTGTGAAAACACAGCAAGTAAGTCCGTTTGGAAACTTCATCAGAGTTTACAAAAGTGCAGGCTAAGACACTAGAGGCAGCAGGTACCAGAGGTATGTTCTTGGAAAATAGACCCCCCAAAAAGATTAAGATTTGGAGGGGAACTGAACCAAGTAATTCTTTAGTTTATGTACAATAAATACATAAGCATGAATAAATATATAATAAAAGCTGAGAACACGCTGGGAATTAACAGGAAACCCCGGTAACCTTTACGCAACATATAAAAAATTTAAGGCGGTGTCGGGGGCTGGCGCTTCCGTGTCCTTGTCCCATCCCTCCTCTCCCGCCTTCTCCTGCCTGCAACAAACCTTCTGGTCCGGAAGCTCCAGTGCCATTGCTGTGCTGGATGAGCGGTCATGGCGGAGGCTGCAGCTCCCGAGACGACCAGCCCGACAAGCCAACCATCGGGGGCCGAAGCGGCAGCCGCAGAGATGGCAGCAGGCTCCCCAGCACCTGTCCCGGCGGAGGCGGGGGCCCAAGGAGGCGACAACGACTGGACTAAACAAGTCACCTGCAAATTTTTCAAGTATGGCATTTGCAGGGAAGGCGATCGCTGCCGCTATTCGCACGACCTCTCCGGCAGTCCTCCCCGCGTGGTGTGCAAGTATTTCCAGCGAGGGTACTGCATTTTCCGAGACCACTGCAGGTATGAACACTGCGAACCGCTGGGACAGGAAGCGGCTGCTATGGATCGAAATGCAAACCTGTTCTTTGTCGCTGTCTCAAGGCTCTCGGCAGTGGTTGGACTGATCGCTGAAGCGAATCCGGGTGAGGCTGGGTCAAGAAATTCAAACTTGGCCGCTGGAGGAGCAGCTTCCGAAGACTGGGCGAATGCCCCCGAGTTTGTTCCTGGGCAGCCGTACCGCGGCCGCGTTGCTCCTGCTCGCGCTGAGGCAGCACTGCAGACTCCCGTGACCAACGAAGACTCCCGCGAGCGTCCACTGTGCCGCTATGCGGCCGTCGGACAGTGCCGCTATGGAGACAACTGTATGGATCTCCACGGAGACATCTGTGATCTGTGTGGACTGCAGGCTCTGCATCCCGCGGACGCTGCCCAGAGGTCGCTACACATCAGATCCTGCATCGAGACCCACGAGAAGAACATGGAGCTCTCGTTTGCTGTCCAACGCAGTAAGGACAAGGTGTGTGGGATCTGCAAAGAGGTGGTCTACGACAAAGCCAACCTCAGCGAGTGCCGCTTTGGGATCCTTCCTAACTGCAACCACACCTACTGTCTCAAGTGCATCCGCAGGTGGAGGAGTGATGGGGAATTCGCGATCAACATCGTCAAGTCCTGCCCCGAATGCCGGATCATGTCTGACTTCGTTGTTCCAAGTGAGCACTGGGTGGAGGAGAGAGAAGAGAAGCAGAAACTCATCCAGCAGTACAAGGACGCAATGAACAACAAGGTATGCCGATATTTTGGTGAGGGACATGGGATCTGCCCGTTTGCACAGCACTGTTTTTATAAGCATGCATACCCTGATGGCCGTAGAGAGGAGCCACAGTAGAATGTGGGCACATCAAGCAGATACTGGCCCTAAGAAAGGAACCACTTCTGGGAGCTCATTGAGGAAAGAGAGAACAGCAGCTCCTTTGACTACGATGAACAGGCTGTCACCTCCAAGCTGGGAAAGATGTTGCTTATGCTTTTGGCTACTGATGGGGACAATGACTTGATGGGCTCTGAAGACAAGTGGGACTTGTGTCAGGAAGAGCTGGCAGACTTTTAGGACTCTAGGACTCGAATTTAGAGCTGTGCGTGTGATGTGACCTGGCCTGCAGCTCCCCCCACAGGCTGCCCCTGAAGCAGCGCAGCAGAGTGCGTGGCTCTCGCCCGCGCGGCCCGGCCACTCTAGGAGCTGTTGTAATGACTTTTACTCGGGGCCTGTCTTCTTGATCCTTCACCTTTTGCAAAGGGTATGTTGTTTCCTCTGGTTAAAAAAAATTACAAAAAAAAATTACAAAAAAAAATACAAAAAAAATTACAAAAAAAATTACAAAAAAAAAATTACAAAAAAAAATTACAAAAAAAATTACAAAAAAAATTACAAAAAAATTACAAAAAAAATTACAAAAAAATACAAAAAAAAACCTTAAGTTAGTTTTTTCATAGCATGAATTTAACTGTCAGGTAGTAAATGTTGGTTTGTTAGATCACCTGTTTTCAACCAGATTCACATAGCTGGAGAGTATTGTTTGTGGACTTTCCCACACTGATTTTGAGGACTCGGGGTTTAAAAGTCACACCGTTGGCCCAGCTTTGGCATCCAAGAATAGGCACGATGGGTAAAGGTTCTGGGTTTGGCAAGTAGCCTTCTGCTACAGACTTAAAGGGTTTCTGCTGAAATGTGTTCACCTGTTTTTATGTCTGTTCCCTACCCTGCAGCCCCCACCCCGATGCGCTTGTTCTGTGCTTGCTGTCTTAGGTCTTTTGTTTAATTGTACACAGTTTCAAGCTACTAGATAACAATGAAGAATTATTTACTTTCATTTAATTGGTTAAATTAAATTAACCCCAAAAACCTGGTTGATTTAATTTAAAATGAATTAGCCATTGACAACAGACTTCTTACAGTAAAAACATGCTTGTTTGAAATGTACTTTGATAGTTCTGCCTGAATAGAGAAGTTGGTTAGGGCATCTTCCTGATACGCAGAGTTTTATACTTGGTCTCTGGTATGGAACCCTACCAAAGATCAACCAGTAAATGTATGCACAGATGTAGTTCCAGATTCGGCCTGGTGACTCTTCCTTCCTCTTTCTGCTCTGTAAAAATAAATAATAAAATAATAACCCACCTTCCTGCTCTGTAAAAATAAATAATAAAATAATAACCCCCTTCCTGCTCTGTAAAAATAAATAATAAAATAATAACCCCCCTTCCTGCTCTGTAAAAATAAATAATAAAATAATAAAATAAGAAATGTTCTAAAGTATATTTTATTGGTTATGCTATTATAGTTGTTGTAATTTTTCTCCCCTTTATCTCCCTCCACCCTGCACCGCCTCTCCCTCGAGCATCGCCCCCCTTAGTTCATGTCCAGGGGTTGTACATAGAAATTCTTTGGCTTCTTCATTTCCTGTACTATTCTTAACCTCCCCCTGTCTGTTTTGTACCTACCGTTTATGCTACTTATTCCTTGTACCTTCCCCCGTTCCCCCCTCCCCTTCCCCCACTGATAAGACCTCCAGGTGATCTCTGTTTCTGTCGGTCTGTTCCTGTTCTAGTTTAGCTTGTTTCTGGGTTTTTTATTCAGTTGTTGCTAATTGTGTTTGTTATCATTTTACTGTTCATAGTTTTGATCTTTTTCTTAAATAAGTCCCTTTAACATTTCACATAATAAGGGCTTGGTGATGGTGAACTCCTTTTACTTTACCTTATCTGGGAAGTACTTTTTCTGCCCTTCCATTCTAAATTAGCTTTGCTGGATGGAGTCATCTTGGATGTAGGTCCTTGCTTTCCATGACTTTGAATACTTTTTTCCAGCCCCTTCCCACATGCAAGGGTTTTGTTTTTTGTTTTTTTTTTTTGAGAAATCAGCTGAGAGCCTTATGGGAACTCCTTTGTAGGTAACTGTCTCCTTTTCTCTTACTGCTTTTAATATTCTCTCCTTATCTTTAATCTTGGGTGTTTAATTATATGTCTTGGTGTGATCTCCTTGGGTCTAACTTCTTTGGGGCTCTTTGTGCTCCCTGAACTTCTGTGTCTATTTCTTTCGCCAGACTGGGGAAGTTCTCCTTCATTACTTTTTCAAATAAGTTTTCAATTTCTTGCTCTTCCTCTTCTTCTGACACCCCTGTTTCAGATGTTGAAATGTTTCATGTTGTCCCAGAGGTCCCTAAGCCTCTCCTTTTTTTTTTTTTTTTTTTTAATTCTTGTTTCTTCCTTCTGTTCTGGTTGAATGTTTATTTCTTCCTTTTGTTCCAAATTGTTGATTTGAGTCCTGGTTTCCTTCCCTTCTCTGGTGGTTCCCTGCATATTTTCCTCTATTTCACTTTGTATAGCCTTCACTTCTTCATTTTGTGGCTGTGCTCAACCATTTCTGTGAGCATCCTATTTACCAGTGTTTGAACTCTGTTTCTTATAGGTTGGCTATCTCCTAGTTGCTTAGTTCTTTTTCTTAGTTCTTTGAGCTGTTCTTTCATTTGGGCATTTCTTTACCTCATTGCACCTGTTACATTGTAAGGGGCAGAGCCTTAGGCATTCCCCAGGGTGCATAGCCCACATCACTGCCGTTACAGCGCTGTGTGTCGGGGAGGGGTCGGAGAGGGAACGGTGCCACTTGCTGGGCTCTTGTCCCACTTTCAGTCATTTCCCCCGCTGCCCACAAGCAAGTTGGGCCCTTCGGGTGCTGATTCCAAGGTGAGTAGATTTGTGTACATTCTAGGACCCCGTGGGTCCCTCCAATGGGCTCTCCTGTGAGACTGGGAGTTTCTCCTGCCACTGCAACCCCCACAGGTTATTACATCCAGAGATTTTTGAGACTTTATTTTCCCTGTGCTGGAACCCTAGGGTGTTGTCTCACTCCCAGGTTGTTCCTTCCGACTTATTCGAACACGAATATGGGACCACCCAGTCCACCAAACACCACCTTGCAGCATGCCCTGTCCACTCCAGCTGCCTGTCTCCACCCCTCCCACTGGTCTGCTGGAATGTTTCCACTTCAACTCCTTGGTTATCAGACTTCCATACAGCTTGATTTTTTAAATAAGAAACTTTAAAACTACTGTGATAAACTTTTGGGTAAATGTGGATGCTTAGAGCATTGATGGGAAAATTAGTAAAAAATGAAGACATAGCTCAATTGTTCCACATTCCAGGAATTTAGTGTATTTGATAAAGAATGAAGATAGGAAGGGATAGAGGGGAACTTTGAAGAACAGGAATAACTGATATGCACAATTAGCTGTTCGCATTATTTAAATATAACACCATCTGTAGCCAGCAGAATAATGGCCATCAAAGACATCCACATACTAATCCAAGCACCTGAAAATAAGTTACCTTGAATGGCAAAAGGAACTTAGTAGGTGTGATAAAATTAAGAATTTTGAGATGGAGCGATTATCCTGGATTTCCAGGTAAGCCCAATGTAATCACAAGGCTTACAAGCCAAAGGAGCAGGGTCAGGAGGGTCAGAGTCAGAGAAAGGTTTGAATATGCCACACCGTTGGCTTTGAAGACGGAGGAGAGGCCAGCACAGAGGAGCGTAGACAGCCTCCAGAAGCTGGGAATGGCAAAGAAACGGACTCTCCCTGGAGCTTTCTAAAGGAGCACACCTCTGCCAATGCCTTGACTTGAGTCCAGCGAGACTCATGATAGACTTCTGACTTCCTGAACTCTAAAATAATAAATGTGCGTGGGTATAAGCCACCACGTTTGTGGCAAGCAGTTACAGTATCAATAGGAAACCAATGCACCCTTCATGCACATTGTCTAAATGACCAATGTCCTTAATAAGACCGTGAGTGGGAATCATGAAAAGGACCTGAGTCCCATGAGCAGGTCAATGCAGGTGGAACAGGGGCCATCGACTGAACTAGAAGTTGACTGTGGGAATGTCACATGGCCACCTCTACCCCATGGCATTTTCAGAAATCTTAGAAGCCAGCACTGGCTGCTTCATCAGTTGTGGAATGGAGAATTAAACCAGTCTTGTCCACATCTTAAGTGTCTTGGGTTTAGAGTGAGAAGGAAGCTGAGCAGTACCTATCGGATTTTGATTCCATACATGTGTAATGGGGCATGAAAGGGAACGCTTTCTTTCTCTTGTGAAATTTTATTTTTAGGTTTTTGAATAATAATATACTTACATTTTAATACTGAAAACAAAATAAGGAACATTCAAAAGACTCTCACCCCCCCTTACCTCCACCCCTTTCTCCTATGATCAATGTGTAGCCATTTTCATTAACTCATCGTTCTCATTCCAGTGTTTCTTTATGTAAAGCTGCATAAATATTTTCATTCCCCCCTTCTTATACAAAAGATAGCATACCGTATGCACTGTCCTCCACCTTGCTTTCCTCATTCAAACAGTACATCTTAGACAATACTCTGTATTATTGCATAGAGTTCTCCCTCATTCCTTTTTTACAGCTGCGTGGTATTCCATTGTGTGCATGGAAGTGTCATAGTTTAACTTGTTTCCTCCCGAGAGGCATTTGAGTGGTGTTGGGACTTTTGCTATTATAAAGTATGTCACAATGAATAGCGCTGACCATGAGTCATTTTGGACATGTGCAGGGGAACCCTTAGACCAGGTCCCAGAAGGGAGACTGCTGGTTTGAAGGACAAAGGCACCTGGATGAAGGCAATGTACATATTGCCAGATTCCCCTCCACAGAAGTCAGGCCATTCTGTGCTCTCACTAACAATGTCTGAGTGCTTGTGTTCTCATGGCCTCAAAAAAAAAGGGGTGTGTTGTTAAACTTCTAAATTTCCCCCAAATTGACCGCTGAAAAATGATATCTCCCTAATTTGCATTTCTTTAAAAAGTGAGGTTGAGCATCTTTCTTGTGTTTAAGAGCCATTTGCTTTTTATTCTGTGGACTATATTTTCATATCCTTTGACCCCAAATTGGACCCTGAATTTTTGCTTTGTCTTGACCAACCTTCTAAAAAACTGAGAAGAAAATAATTGGTTGCAAATATTCCCATATTCTAAAATGACAGACCCTTAACCTAATACCCAGGATGTGGTTTAAATTGAAAAGGCCAAAAGAAGTTCTTTCGAGAAAGCTATTGGCGTGCTGAGCACTTTTTCCCTCCCCCACCACCATGGTAGGGGGAGGGAAAATGCAATCCTGGAAAAAGGAGCTCCAAGGGGACCTCCACTTAGAGAATTTGACTTGTGTCCCCTAAAGCTTCAGCAGACACAGTGGCCCGGTATCTCATTCCAAGGTTAAGAAACCCACGTGTCAAGAAGCCGAGGCCGTCGGGCCAACCAAAATTGAGAACCACGCTGTAGCAAGCCGAGCTTCCACCAAGGGCAGTACAAAGGGTCTAATGAGTAAGAAAGCTGGTCTGTGACCACAGCTATCCATGGGGCAACTGCCCACTTGGTGTGCCAAGGGCCTGGGGGTTCCCGTGGGCCAGGCAGATACCCTGGAAAACAGCACCACAAGAGGAGCCGTCTTAGCGAGAAAACGCCGATCGAGACGGCAGCAGGGGCTATGGGGTGCATTTTCAGGAGCAGAAGCTGAAGCAGTGACAGAGGATAACACAATATAACAAAATATAAATGGGATAACAACATATAAAATATAAGACATACACAACAAAAAGTAAGCATGAATTATCTTGCAGGTTCAAGACTAGAGTACTCTAGACACATACACATACAAAAAAGTAAATGGAAACCCATATCGCGTTTTGGCACAGGAACACTCTTTATTTAACACACCCCCAAGAAATATATTAAGATTTTTGAGGGAAACTTAACCAAATAATTCTTTAGTCTATGTGTAATAAATAAGCACACATTAATAAATATATGATAAAAGCTGAGAACACTGAGAGTTAACAGAAAAAAGGGATAACTTACTTCTACTTGGTATTAAAAAAAAACTCTATTTCACAGTTACAGCAGGTGGTACTGGCACAGAAATACATCAGTAGAACAAAAAGGAAAGCTCAGAAATAGACTTCAGTATCTAATTTAGTATATGATTCAAATCACTAAGGGAAAAATTAACAGTCAATGAATATTCATAGGACAACGGGCTAAGGCACTTGGCAATAATAGTGAAAAGATTCCCACAACCTTATTCCTTATACTAAAATAAACTTCAGATGGATTAAAGATTTACATTTTTTTAAACTTCTGCATTATATTTCCTACTTTGAGGTTGGAAGTTCTGAGCATGGCACCAAGGACAAAAACCGTAAGAAAACTGACACATCTGACTGCACACGTGTAAAGTGTTAATGTGGCAATGCATGCTACACACAAGAGGAGGGAAATGACACAGCTAAGAGTGAAAATAGCTTTGCTACCAAAGGCTTTTTCAAACCAGTAAAAAGACAAAAATGCCAAGTACTGAGAAAAAAAGGCGATTCACCAAGACAGAATTAGAAATGACCAATCAACATGCAAAATAGTCAGAGAAGTGCAAACACGACAGGGACACCTCAGTTTTCACCTGCCAGATTAATGAAGATTAAAGATACCAAAAATGTCCAGTTGTACTGGGGCTTTCTGCAGGTGAGAGTATAAACTTGTATAAACAAACTTCCTATGAGATTCCTATGACAATACACAGTTAATATAAAATGTAAATAGTGGTTTTCATTACGGCAGCATCACCTCTAGGAGATCAGCCTAGGTAAGAACCGCACGCAAGTATGCAGAATTGTATGAGGACAGGAAACGTCTAAGAACACTTGAAATGCACAGCAGAGTGGGGGTTAAATGAATTATGGTGCAAACTTTCAATGCAATCATTATACCATGAAAAATGTGTCCCGGGTATGTTGATGAATCAGAGAAACATATTACAAAACTATATGCATGGTTTGTCCGCGTTCCGGAAAAAAAGGAAAGAAGGAAGAGGGGAGCAGGTGTGCCAGAGAAGCACGGAGAGGGGCACAGTCACACGCACGCGCAACACCGAAGCCATTCCTTCTTTCTTTCTTTTTGAAACAATGAGCGCACACTCCTTTTTATTTGATATGCTTCATTGTATCACCAGCCCACAAGCTTGGGAACAGGAAAGGCCAAACCCTTGTTCCTCTCCCACTTCCGCTGTTTTTTTCTTAGATAAGTACAGGGTCTGGCACAAATAATGCCTTTTCATTACAAAATCTGTTATTATAAAGTCATAAGCATTTAATTCTGTAACATAACAATATCACGCGTTAAGCATACCCTAGGACAGTTTAGGTGAGATGTTCAAATAAAAGCTATACATTATCACACCCACACTCAACCAGGCGTTACTTCTGCTGGACCCCATAGAATGAAGAAGGTTTAGAAAATCAGAATGTGAGCTTAGCAATAAAAAAGGAGCACTTCGAATTCTTATGTTTTTATTTATTTTCTTTAAAATTAACTTTGTTCAAAGTTAATACGGAGTTCCGAGATAATTACTTCGGCTCTGGTCTTAAGTACCCAGCTGCAAGTTCGGGTCTTGAGTCAGAGGGGCACCGTGACCTATTTCCCCTAATTAACCTCCATCTACTGTTTGGTGGTTTCTGATGGGGGACGTACTTTATAATGAAAAGACAGGTATAAAATGACATGTGCTATAATATAGTTAAAGGCACTAGTTAAGATAGATAGATAGATAGATAGATAGATAGACAGATAGATAGACAGATAGATAGGAAGGCTATGTAAAGGCCTGACACTCCCAAGAACCACAAGGGCTGTCTAAACATCAGCTCGAGGCCTATCAAATCCCAGGAATGGGAACTAGACTTGCAGTCAGAAGTCTTGGCCCCCCAATTCAAGTCATGCATCTGTCTGAACCCACTTCTCCGTGCTAAAATGGGGAAACAGTCACCCCTGTTATTCCCGCTACACCATGCAGAACTGTTTTGAGAATGAAATGAACGAACATGCACAAACAAAAATGATGGTGGGGAGAAATAAAAACCATGGGCACACACAGCCACACCCACAATCAGCCAGGGAACAATCTGTTCCTGACCCGTATCTGGGCAACCCCCCAGTTTTGATTCCCAGGTGAGAAGGGAGCTAAGACCGGATCTGAGTCCTCACGTCTACGCACTGTGCCCAGGGCAGCTGCTAGGGAGACCCTTCCTGCCTCCATTCCCACCTCAGGACCACCCAGCTTTAGTTAGGGGAGCTCGCTGTCCCCCTCTGGGTGCAGCCTGACCTGTCCTCCGCCAGAAGGACCCGCGTTCTCCCAGAAAGACCCACGGTGAGGCCCCTGAGGTGCCCTCTCTGCTTAACCAGGAGTCCACTTGGAAAAAAACAAAAATGGCATGGTGGTAAAGCTGCCAGGTGAATTTAGGAAAATTAAAGCTGCTTTCATATTTAGGAGGAAACTATTAGGGCAGAACTGCAGAAAAATAGCACATCCTTTTCACAAATGCTCAGCCCCTGCTTCTGTTAAGGATTAACACTGAGTGACTCTGTGTTATAATTTGAAACGATGAGAGGAAGTTGACAAAGACCATGTTTTTGCTCTTGTAGTACTTTTGCAGGAACTGCTTTTGTACTTCTACACTGCATCCAAAAGTACATTTTACTTAATATTTTACTTAATAGTCCGTTATTTTAACAAGAAATTTATGATGCTAAGCAAGTGGGATTTCTTTTCTTTTTTTTTTTAATGACAATTATGCTAAGTTTCCATGTGGACAACTGTAGCTTATTTGGCAGTTAATCCCAGAGCTGCAAATTAGGGAGGATGTAGCTATGAAAACATATGGTGTTTATGAACTGGTAAAAAAAATTAAAAAAGGAGGAGGAGTAGCAGGAGGAGGAGAGGGGAAGGCTTAGATTCTCTCGGGATCAAGGAGGCTTTCAGGAAAATCCTTACTCATCAGAGATCCTACCCTATACTATTACAATAATGCGTGATGAGTCCAGATTTAATTCGAGCTGTGAAAAGAGTATGAGTTTGAATTGCTGCACATAAAAATGAAAGGTAGAAGCTATTCGTATTAGTCTGTTGAGAGCTCTGCTCTAGAATTCACTTGAGATGAGAGCTCTAAATGTTGATCCTAAGTTGTAGTCTGAGGTAGCCCTTCAGAGGACAAAGGACAATTATTCCCAGTACTGCCTAATACTGGCAATACTGGCAGGGGCCAGGGGCTGACAGCTGGCAATGCGCCCCCAAGTGCCAGGGTATTACTTACTTCCACCTCTCTGACTCTTCCCAACTGAATGGGGCGGAACACCCCCCCCACCGTGGCCCCCCCCGCCCCCCGTGCAGAGCAACTTTACAGACAGTTTCCGCCTGTTGTCTCCTCCTCCGCTTACAAGCCCAGGGTCCTCAAATCTGCCCCTCACCAGTGCCCCGCCCACCACGTTGGAAAGGCTGTCCCTCTTCCTCGGGACCACAACGTTGCCCGAGCCCAGGGCCACGTTCTTATACGTGTGCCCAGAGGTTGTACAACACGACTGTGCTACTGTCGCCTCCCCCGTGCTTTTTCTTCTCACGTCCTAGGAAGGGAGGGAGTAGGAGAAACTGCACTTAGAGACATCACAAGCCTCTGCCTTTCTTTTTCATTTGCTACTGAGCCTGAGAGTTACACTGTCGGGTAGGGAGGAAAGTTAAAGAATACTCATTCGGGCTTTAAAAGTCAAAGCTACTACACTGAACCTGCCAATTCAGCACAGTGACAGGGGCCCAGGACAGCTTACACCCAGGGGGTCAGGGCTCATGATAGGGCACGGTCATGGTTACCGAGGTTGTAGATGAAAGGACTGATCGTGTCACCCACATTGTTCCCCCGTCCCTGTAAACACTTGGGTTCTACCATGGGCTCGAGATTGTTTCAGCACGGTATTACCACGGCCACTGAATCTAATGGGAGGCACAGAGTGTTTTTACGAGACCCTCATTAATAAAAAAAAAAATCAACCAAGGCTGTTATAAATATTCATATGCCACAGAAGAACTGTCTAAATTCACAGACAATTTTTACTGGGATGAACACTTACGGCTTTTGAATACTTTAGACTAGTGGAACTGTACCAAACAGACGCAGCAGGGAACTTACTGGAGTGGCCAGGCTGGTCTATTTCCTAACTAGCTGTCAATTAATTTTAGGAAAAGGGCTGCTTCTACAGTGTTCGACAAGTTTGCCTGTGTCAATGATCGCTATCATTTTCAGTGCCCTCCTTCATAAAGTCAAATTTGAACCTAAACTCAAGTCTATTTCATTGCTTATTGTAAAAGAATAGATTTTGAGTTATTTAACAGAGATGCTACAAAATAAGACTCAGAGACCCTCTTGCATTCAATGTCCAGAGGAGCTGTGTCTCAGGCATCACTCAGAAGAAGATGCAGGCCCAGCCCATGTGATCAGTAGCCCATGGTCAATATTCCATTGTATATCAAGGGTCTCAAGTTCACAGGCACAGAACTGGTCCTGTAGCAGGGAAGACGTCAGCAATTCCTGAGTTTCCTCCTTTTGGGGGGTTCCACAGAGACGGCCCCATCTTGAATCCAGGAATGGGGCCAAGCTGGGAACGAGGAAAGTCTGCAGGCCCCGCCGCACACCTGGGTAGAAGGTGCTGTGTGCAGGCACCTGAGAAGCTGTCATAACATCCGCCCCAACAGCAGTGCATCTGCCACACGTAGCACCCATTTGCAATCTGGACACGGAGGAGGAAAAGAGAGGCCATTGACACACCTTGGTTTTCCCACAGTGCATCCCTCAGAGTAATCTATGCCCATTCATGAGAAGCTGCACGAGAGATCAGCCATGATGACTCTGTGAGTGGCCAGGGCAGCCATCACCAACCTTGCTCTTCTCCCGAGACAGGAGCAGGAGCGCATCCCCCCAACCCTAAGGTGCAGTGACTCATGCCTTCGGCCTGCCGGCCTGCCGAGTGTCTGCTGAGCCCAGAACGCCCTCCACCCTCATCACTTTGATCCTCCTCAATCCCAGCTGTTCCTCCTGACTCCAACCCCACCCCCCACCGCTCCGCTTATTTTTCAAAAACAGTCTCACATACCACGCTGCTAAGAAGGAGAGGAATGCGAGGACAATCACAACAGCCATGGAGCCCAGCCCAACGCCTGCCATCTGCTGCAGCGTGAGCGACGAATCTGCGGGACAAAACCACACACTGAGAGGTGCATGGCCACCTGGGCTCTGTCTTAACCCCAAGCTCGGCCCCATTCAACAAACCATCCCCAAAATGCCCAGAATGCCTCCTGCCCCCTGGGTTTGCCCTGAGGATGTAAGGCCTAGCACAACTCAGCCCCAGGGTATTTCTAAAAAGGAAGCATAAAAGCAGGACACATGCAAGAGGCACAGAGTGAAAAAAAACTAATCTTGCCTAGCCTACAAATGTGGCAGCATCCTGTGTTGCTTTTGTTGGTCTTCTCTCAAGTCAATTACACTTGATTGACTTTTATGGGCAGTTCTCCTTTGCATTGAGGGACAAGTCATTCTGACATCACTCGAATGTTTCCCTTGAAAAGTGACAGTTCGCTGCAGGAGGTGAATATAACAAACAAATCCTCTCTGTTGGATAGTTATGTCACTTTCCCTACACATCAGCAAGAGTGGTACCTCTCAGCTCTGCTCAGCAGGCTGCCATGAGGATGAAATACAAAAACTGAGGGAAAAGGCCTTTGAAAGACATAAATATTTCTATTTGGAATGCATCACATGCCCACTGTGGGAGATCCTGGTTATAAACGTGAAAAGACCCACGTTTGAGTTGCACATTTGGGCCCAGTGACTGAATCAGAGTTTCATGCTCTAAACGGATGGTCTTGTTTTAATTTGCAAACACTTACTTAACATGCACTATGTGTCAGGCACTGTTCTAATTACCTTTCTTAAGCACCCAGTGGGTACTCTAATAATAGGAACAGGTATTATAATAATAGCACACCGAGTACCATTATTATTATTACCACGTTACAGTTAAGGAACTGAGGCACAGAGGCCCAAGGTCACCTAGCTAGCAAAGGACAGAGCCAGAATTCCAACCAAAACTGTCTGGCTCCAGAGTCTTTGCTTTTGACCACAGCACCATGCCTTCCCCTTGCGTATCTGACTGCTCTGTCTGCAGCAGAGTGGGCCCCTCCCATCTACAAGTCAGGGGTGCAGGCCCTGACCTGTGCTCCACAGGCCGATAGGAATGGGGCCTCGGGCTGCAGTAGTTCAAATTCCTCTTTGGAAGAATAAAAGTCTGTGTGACATGGTGCTACCAGACATTGAAGAGACATTAAGGGCTGACTCTATATGTATAGAATTAAAAATAAATGTATCACCAAGCCATGGAATAGATGTAAGATAATGAAACCAAGTGCAAATTTGACAGATGATTTGCTGGGCTGCCACTACTGACATATCAAATTATTTCATTATTTTGCACCCCCTTTTACTAACGCCCCAGGGATGTGCTTTGTCTGCCCTTTGGATAATCCAGCACTGCGTTGGAACAGCTGAAAATAGCGAGCAAAGATCTGTTGCCAGGAAAGGCAAGGGGCTTGAGAGGAAGAACAGTAGCCCCTGGACTTGAGATCCTCAAAACTCAGATGACTTGTTTGCTGGCAGTGAATGAGGCATGCTTGGGAGTAGTTCAAGGTACTTAACGTTTTCGTCATCTAATCTGCACTGTTCAATACAGTAGTCACTAACCACAGTGTGGATATTTAAATCTACATTCATCAAAATGAAAATTCAGTTTCTCTGTCACACTGTTTTAAACACTCAATTTCTCGTACACATTTCAAATCGGTAGTCAGGCTAGTGGCTACGAAATTGGAGCTCACGGCCTTAAAATCATCCCACGGCTGCAGGCAGTTCTGTGGAGCAGCACCGCCCAGATCCCCACAAGCAGGGTAAGAGCGGTGGGGTTCTACTGGAGACGCAGCACAGTCACTGTCCCCAGCAAAAGCAGCCATGGACTAGACCTCTTTGCTAAAGAACCCTGCAAGACTCCTTATCTCAGAAAGTGTTGTCAGGAGACTTTGTAGAAAAATGTGGCTTGTATAGTTTGGCTACATTTCGTATTCAGAAGAAAAAGACCTTGACATTTTAAGAAACTGTATTTTTTTATAAAATGAGAGGAGGAGCTGTGTGGTTAAATTAGCAACTGGAGAAAAATAAATGGGGAAGTGACTTCAATCGGTAAATATTGAAACAGTAGAGTATCGCAGAGGAATGAATACATTGGAACAAAACAGAAAGGCATTATTGAATTCACTTTCCATTGCTGCTTCATAAAGTACCATAAACTTAGCAACTGGCACCTACTTATGAGCTCACAATTCTGTGGGTCAGTAGTTCAGCCACGCTGTGATCAGGTCCTCTGCTCAGGGTCTTACAAGGCTGCAATCAAGATGCCAGATGGGCTGCGCTTCTCTGTTGGGGCTCTGGGGAAGAATTTGTTTCCCAGCTCCTTCAGGCTATGGGCTAAACTCAGTTCCTTGCCATGGTAGGACCGAGACCCCCTAAGAAAAGACAAGTGGACTAGTTGCTCTAAAGTACAGCAGAATGGCTAAAGAGAAGAGGAGATAGAAATCCTGTCCGTGGAGCAAATGTAAAAGCTTCAGGACAAAGAGGTGAGAGTTCAGGCCAAGAAGGAGGTCTAGGTAGAAATGCTTTGTTTCCCAAAAGAAGGATAACAATCTATTTAAAAACAAAAAAATAACCAGAACAGCCAGGAAACCAAACTGCATGGAAATCCGACAACCAAGGAGTCAAAGAAACATTCATGCAGGCTGTTAGAAGGAGCAGAGATGGCAGCCACATGGAGGAGAGGACACGCAGCATGGCGGCAGACCACGTGGGCGAGGCAGGGGTTGGTTGACCTGGGTGGGCCAGCATTTGCTCGGGGATAAGCCAGGAAGAACAACTAGGGAGCCAGACAGACCGCTAAACCCAGGGTTTCAGCACAGGAAATTAAAGACTCAAAACCTCTGGGTGTAAGAACCTGCAGAAATTGCACTGGTGGGAGAAACTCCCAGTCTCACAGAAGAGTCCATTAGAGAGACGCACGGGGTCCTAGAACATACACGAACACGCTTACCTGGGAATCAGCACTTGAAAGGGCACCATCTGCTTGTGGGAAGCGAGGGAAGTGACGGAATGTGGGGTGAGAGCCGAGCCAGCAGCTTCGCCCCTCTCGGACCCCTCCCCCTGACACAGCGCCACAATGTAGTGACGTGGGTTGCCCGGCTCTAGAGAATACCTAAGGCTCCACCCCTTACAACACAACAGGTGTGCCCAGGACAAAGAAAGATGACCCAAATGAAAGAACAGATCAAAACTCCAGAAAAAGGACTAAGCAATAAAGAGATGGACAACCTATAAGAAGCAGAGTTCAAAACACTGGTAATCAGATGCTCAAAGAAATGATTGAAAATTCGGTCGCAAAATAAAGGAGGAAGTGAAAGCTATACAAAGTGAAATAAAGGAAAATATGCAGGGAACCACCAGAGAAGGGAAGGAAACCAGGACTCAAGTCAACAGTTTGGAACAAAAGGAAGAAATAAACATTCAACCAGAAGAGAATGAAGAAATAAGAATTCAAAAAAATAAGAAGAGGCTTAGGGACCTCTGGGACAACTTGAAATGTTTCAACATGCGAAACATAGGGGTGTCAGAAGGAGAGGAAGAGAAAGAAATTGAAAACTTATTTGAAAAGGTAATGAAGGAGAACTTCCCCAGTCTGGCGAAAGAAATAGACACACAAGTCCAGGGAACACAAAGAGCCCCAAAGAAGTTAGACCCAAGGAGATCACACCAAGACATATCATAATTAAATACCCAAGATTAAAGATAAGGAGAGAATCTTAAAAGCAGCAAGAGAAAAGGAGACAGTTGCCTACAAAGGAGTTCCCATAAGGCTATCAGCTGATTTCTCAAAAGAAACCTTATAGGCAAGAAGGGGCAGGAAAGAAATATTCGAAGTCATGAAAAGCAAGGACCTACATCTAAGATGACTTTATCTAGTAGAACTATCATTTAGAATAGAAGGGCAGATAAAGTACTTCCCTGATAATGTCGAGTTAAAGTAGTTCACCATCACCAAAGCCTTATTATATGAAATGTTAAAGGGACTTATTTAAGAAAAAGAAAATAAAAAATATGAACAGTAAAATGACACCAAACTCACAACTATCAACAACCAAACCTAAAAAAAAAACAAGCTAAGCCAACAACTAGAATAGGAACGAAATCACAGAAATGGAGACCACATAGAGGGTTATCAGTGCAGGAAGAAGAATGGGTGGAATAGGTACAGGGAATAAGAAATATAACTGGTAAGTACAAAATAGACAGGGGGGGTTAAGAATAGCATAGGAAAAAGAACTTATATGTATGATCCACAGACATGAACTGAGGGACATAGGGAATGCTGGAGGGTGGGGCAGGGGTGGAGGGAGATAAAAGGGAGAAAAAATTGGGACAACTGTAATAGCATAATCAATAAAATATACTTTAAAACAATAAAATATTATCCACAAAGAAAAAAAAAGAAGAGCTTCAGGAAAAGAGCTTCTTCAGGAAGAAGATGGCACTTAATCTTGAAGAACAGGTGAGATTTCAATAGGGTATATGGCAGTGCGGGTGGAAGTAAGCGTGTAATCACATGAGCAAAGACATTAAGGAGAAAAGGCAGGGGCTATATTCAGCAAAGAGCTGGGGTACAGGTTTACATGCAGAAAATTGAGAGATGCAATTAGAAAGGTACATTGGTGTCATACTGAGGCCTCGGAAACAGGATGAAAAAGTAATGCAGAACTGTGGGAAACTATTGCAGGAAATACTAAAACCAGAGAGGTACGCCTAAGGTGCAAAATGTGGGCTGAAAGAGAAAATGTACACTGACTCAGAGGTTTCTGCCCACAACTGAAGAATGTTCCCTGATTATAGCTGATTATCATTTCACACATACCAAATGACCTCACTTTGTGACTCAAGAAATCACAGACTCATAGCATTTTGTGGCTGGAAGGGATCTTAGGGATCTCGGACAAGGGTATTGAGCCAAGTTAAATATAATTTGAAAGACATTCGGCTGATTAGTAGCAGATCTCGGGCAAGAGAGACCAGGCCTTTGCATTTCCCACCAAACCAACTGCTGTTTCCCTGGTAATATTCACAAAGCTCCTTTAGGGTCACTTTGCAGAAGGTAAACACGGTAATTCATGACAGGACAAGGTCAAGAATGGGGCTGTTGCTTGGAGTGAGTGGAATGGAACAATTTCTCCCATTCACAGAAGAAACTGCCGGAGGTTAGTACACAGCCCGAGTTAATTATGCACATAGGAAAACATATGCTAGAATTCCCTTCAGAATTCTGACATAACCATGGGTGTTCTGTTACCTCCCCGGCTTTCCAGTCGTTTGAATTCAAAGGCTCAAACTTGCTCTCAACGTTGGTTCTTAATTTGAGAGTGCGGAAAAAGGCACTTAGATATTTCCAAGGCAAAATCCTTCCTGTTTAACTTAATCACAGCAGAATGCAGCCAGCTCTTTGGCCACTTCCATCCAGTTTGAGTGTCTGTCAATCATACCAAACCGTTGCAGAAAGCAGTGAAATCTGGAAGTGATTGTTTCTGGGTCTGCCTGGGGTACTTGCACAGCCCCATTCTTCTGAAAAAGCACCTCTTTTCTTTGTGGCAACTCCATTCTCACCCTTTAAGCTTCAGGAAACAGACCAGCAGAAAAAAATTCCCAATGTTGGAATGTATGGTTGTTTCTTATGCCCTCATTATACCCGAGAAAGGGAGCTTAGCCTATTTGCACATGGAAAGGTAACAGCACATGTCTTTGTTGGGAGAGGTGTTCACTTACTATGCTACGTGAATAAGTCATACAAAGAAAGAGAAATACTATAGAACCTCACTCATATGTGGAATCCAACAAAGGCAAACTCATCAAAACAGAGAATAGAATGGCACTTGCTAGGGGCTGAGCGGTCAGGGAAATGGAGAGATGTTGATGTAAGGGGACAAATTTCCTATTATAAGATGAGTAAGTTCTGAGGATCTAGTGACTGTCATTAACAATCCTGTATTATAAACTGGAAAGTTGCTAGAATAGATCTTAAATGTTCTCTCTCTCTCTCTCTCTCTCTCTCTCTCTCACACACACACACACACACACAAATATATATAATGAGATGTTGGCAGTGTTAAGTAACCTTATTGGGGTAATCATTTCACAATGTACATGTATACCAAAAGACCACATTGTATGCCTTAAACATATACAATGCCATGCTAATTATATGCCAGTTCTATCTCAGTGGAGCTGGAGATACAAGAAAGAAGAGAGAAGCCCTGGCGGTCTGACAATACGTCATCAGACATGGGCAGTGGTCAGGTAACACGCCTTCCCAACTGAAAAATCAAGTCCTCCACCCGTGATGAAATGGGAGTGGGTAGAGATAAAAAGAGGGGAAATAAGATTAGGGGATAAGCAGACAGAAGAAAGAAGCCTAATCCCCCAGGGCCCTCTCAAACATTCCCTGCTGAGCACCCCGTACTGACAGGGTAAGGAATCCCCCGCTGTAGTAACGTGCCATTTACTGGAATCCTCCTGGAAGCCAGGTTACATCAGCTCTTCCTCACCACCCCAGCCTATTGTTTTATGCTGCTCTGAGGAAGGGAAGGAATGTGAGGAGTTACACTGAGACTGCGAGCTAAGGGCAGAATTCCTCAGGCTGTTGCCAGGACTCATAAACTGCAAGGAAAAGGTCCACATTCAAAGGTCATACACTTGACAAGATTTCTGGTATTAGCTACAAACTAATAGAATTCTGGGAATCAAATCCGCTGGCTGGCTGCCTTTTGGTTTAAAGAAAGAAAGGCACGGCGAGGGAAATCCCAGCCTGGAAACCAAGGCCGCAGGGCGTTGCTCAATCCCTAAGGCAATTCCCCTGCAGGGAGAGGTGCGTGTGGGGGAGCAGGTTTAAACTGTACAGCACAGCACTCACAGAGGGCCTTCAGGCCGTATCGCTCCGGTGTGGCTTTGGAGGAAATGGACAAGGGTACTCTCCCGTGGGGCAGAAAGACCGAGGCAGCCCAACGGACTGACCAAGGAACCCATTCTGCTGCCAGGGCAGGGGAGGCTGGCTTTTCCTGTCCATCATTGTTACGGGCCCCCTGACCAGTGCACAGCCCTCTATCTCTTCCTCCTTTCTAAGTGAGAGCACTCACTGTTTTTCTCTTCAGATTAGGTACTGTGGTTTGAGAATGGCTGAAGTTGCCATTTAGTCATAGACGACTCGGCAGATCATAAGAAGCACATCTGGATTAGATCAAGAGGAAAGGACCATGCCCAGGAATCTTGGTTTAGAGCTGGGTGTAGTAACAGGCCCCCCTTTGAGTTATCTTGCACTGGGGCTCCAAATTTGGTTATACAGAGGGCAATTCCATTTTCTTACTGGAAGGTATCTTTCTTAATAGTGTATACATATGTGTGTTACATGCGAAGCAGCCAAATGGTTGAAAGTGGGGGAATGTGGCAGCTCTTTGCTTTGGCCTGCCCACATGTCTTTCTGTGCCTCTTTTCCTGGAGGGGATCATGTCCCCCACTCACTGCAGCCCTGGTGGGGCTGTCAGTCACACTGGTCCACCTCCAACCAGTCATATGAATAAGCCCCAAACCCAAGGAGAGTAGATCATAGTACCCTATCACCTATTAGCAGTGATGCATCCAACAGATAGTCACGTAACCTAAGAGAAAAGACTCTTTCCCTGAACTGAAAAACTTTCTGTTCCTACTCAGGCTGCTAAGCTGGGGCAGCTGGTACACCTCCCTCCCCATGACATGGCTTATTGTCGAAGAAAAGGAGGCCCACTCACACTTAGAAGCAGAGCAGAGATAAGAGACAGACAGGGAGAATCCCACTCATGGTGTCAAGTCCGAAGTCCCAGTCCCTGGGGCCCTGGGAATGCTGCTCTTGTAGGGATTCTGTAAGCACCCAGCTCCCAACCCCTGTCCTTTTCAGCTATGGCTTTGCTTAAGCTAATACGAGATGGGTTTCTGCCACCGGTGATAATCTCAAAAGAAATCTCATTAACATAACTTGGTGCTGCAGATGGGACATAGAAATGAGGATAGCACTCGAGGCAGAAAATGGTTTTACCTTTCACCTGAGCCCAGACCGCGCAGGAGCACCTTCTCACCTACAAAGGGAAACACAGCAACATGTTTAACGAGATGGCATTGCTGCTGGTTGGAACAGCACACGTCAGCCCTCTGAGTTTCAGGGGTTTAGCTCTTCATTTGGACTACAACATCTTCAGCGTCTCATCTAGCTCCAACATAGTCCAACTTAGCTGCATGATCACCAAGTGGTCAGTGGACTGGCAAGTGTGACCTCAGGGCTCACTTCCACAGCTTTCCATGGATCTCAGGAAGCACACACTATGGGGCACACACTATGGGGCACCAACAGGCACAGCAGGACATTTCACTGCCCTTGCCAGCTCTGAGCAACTGGCACTGACTGCCTGGAGAATGATGTTGATAAGATTCTGTGGGCACATCCAGGTTCAGCAGGAAGCTTTGATGCATGTGATAGACAAGGTATTGGAACTCCTGGCATAGAGTAATACTTCACCTATCTAGGTAATACTTATCTGGTTACCCCATTTACCAAAAATGTAGCCAAGAACCAGGGAGAAAGCAAAAAGAACACGTATGAAAGCTCATCTGTGGTCGAAGAGACTCACAGACTCACTGGAATGGAATGCCTTCTCTTCTTCTCCCCGACTGTTGTTATTTTATGCATACTTGTCTGTTAGGAATGCTGAGATTACTGTCTATGATAAAACACAGCAAAATATTCCCCAGAGGAAACTGAATAGCAGGGATTAAAGAAAGATTTTCCAACTTCAACTGAGATTCTTTTTCAAGTGACAGCCTTGGGCATTTTTATTTTATTTAAAATAATGACACAAAATATTTACACTGAAAAATTCTGGGGAAAGTTTAAAATGCCTATAAGGTTTCAACGGTGATGAAATTTTGCCTGACGCTAAGAGCATGGAGTCCATCTGACAAAAGATAATATGTAAGAATAATCAGTGCAGGATGTATTTCAAGACAATGGAGGAGAAAAAAAGGCCACACACAGCAAGGCAGTTACTAGGGAACTGTGTGTAGTAAAAGAGAGAAATTGGCAGGGACAGGTGAAGAAGGGAGCTCATTAAAATGAAGCACCTTGATGAGATTTGCATTTTATAAAACCCTTTCTGGCAGCACTATGGAGAAAGGTGATAGGCAGAACACGGGACCAGAAGATGAGTTAGAAAACCAACACTCAGGCAACAGATGCTGAAGACTAAACAGTGCTAGTGAAGAAAGGGAAGTGATTTTAAAGAGCATTAAGGTAATAGAATTGACATAATATGTCCATGATGATGGACTGGATAAGAAAATAAGAAAAAGGGAGAAGACAATTATTCTCACATTTCTGTCTTAGTGACTGGGAGCATGGTAATACTATTCATTGGGACAGATACACAAAGTGGGGAAAATGAAGGACTTGGAAAACTAGAACTTCCTGATTTCAAATTTTACTTACAAAGCTACAGTAATCAAAACATTGTGGTTTCAAGGGAAGAAAACATAGAGGAAAAGCTTCATGAAATTGGATTTGGCAGTGATTTCTTGGATATGATGGCAAAGGCAAGGGCCAAAAGAAAAGTATTGCATTTCATAAAAATCAAGAATTTCTGTGCCTCAAAGGACAGTATCAAAAGATTAAAAACTTGACCTATAGATAGAACAAAAATATTTTCAAATCATATATCTCATAAGGGATTAATATCCAGAATACATAGAGCAGAATACATTATGTATCCAGAATACATAAAACTCAATGAAGAAATAATTCAATTAAAAATGGATAAAGGACTTAACCATTTTTCCAAAGAAGATATACAAATTGTCAAAAGCATATGAAAAGATACTTAACATTGCTAATCATCAGGGAAATGCAAACCCAAACCACAATGAGACAGCACCCCGAGTCCATTAGGATGGCCATTATCAACAGCAAACAGCAAGTGCTGGAGAGGACGTGGGGAAAGTGACAGCCTTGTGAACCCTTGGTGGGAATGTAGAATGATGCAGCCGCTGTGGAAAACAGCATGGCAGTTCTTCAAAAAAAAAAAAAAAATGGAATTACCACGTGATGTGGAAATTCCACTTCCGGGCATATACGAAAGGATTCTAAAAGCAGGGACTCAGAGACATATTCGCGTGCCTATGTTCATGGCAGCGTTATTTATAATAGCCAATAAATGGGAGCAACCCAAGTGTCCATCCACAGATGAGTGAGTAAGCCAGGTGTGGTGCTCACATCCAATGATATATTTTCAGCCTTAAAAAGGAAGGAAATTCTGGCACATGCACAACACGGGCGAACCTTGAAGACATTGTGTTAAGTGAAATATGACAATCACGCAAAAAGACAAATCCTACAGATTCCGTTTATATGAAGTACCTGGAGAAGTCAAGTTCGTAGAGACAGGAAATAGAAGGGTAGGGCGTTGTTGGGGGACAGGGGTTGTTCAATGGCTAGAGAGCTTCAGTTGTGCAAGATGAAGAGAGTTCTAGAGATTGGGTGCATAGTGATGTAAATGTATTTACTACTACTGAACTGTATCCTCAACATTATTAAGATGGTAAATTTTATGTTATGTGTATTTTACCACAATTAGAAATAAATCACTATTATAACGTTCTGGAATTAGATGGGCACTTATAACGGTTGTACAACCTTGGGAATACACTACAAAGCCACAGAATTGCATGGTTTAAATGGGTAAATTACGTGGTGTGTGAACTGTATCTCAATAATGCTGTTTTAAAAAGAAAAATAAATACATCACTACTGATTTTAATATGACTATAACACTAATGTATTTGAAACCCAGGGGGGAACCAATTCCAATTCAAGCACACAAGTCCACATAAAAAAATTTTTCAAAGCCCTGTCCGTCTCCTTTGGCATCCCAAAGAATAAGCACGTGCTCTACTCAGCTGCATTGAAAAAGAGGTAACAATGATGTTACAGGGAAGTTCCCCATAGGATTTTTATCATAACCTCCCATTTTATTCCCTCTGTCATAGACTGGATGTTTATATCCCCCCAAATTCATAGATGGAGCCCTAACCCCAATGCGATGATATATATAGAGGTAGGGCCTTGAGAGGTGATTAAGTTTAGGTGAGGGCACGAGGGTGGGGCCCCGTGATGGGATTAGCACCCACATAAGGTGAGGAAGCCACCAGAGCTCACTCACTCACTGTCATAGGAGGACACAGCAAAAAAGACAGCTGTCTATAAGCCTGGAAGACAGCCCTCATCTGGGAACCGAAGTGGCCTGCACCTGAATCTCGGACTCCCCAGTCTCCAGAACCATGAGAAATACGTGTCTGGTGTTGAAGCCACCCAGTCTGTGGTATTGTCGAATGGCAGCCACGCCCAGTCTGAGACTCGTCCAGACCAACGTCTCCGCCTGCGACGGTGGCTCTCTGACAACCTCCAGGCTATACTCAGACTGTACCTCAGTGCCGTGTCTACGCCATCCAGGGTCTCCAGGCAGTTCTCCAGCACGAAGCCCTTGTCCAAGCCATAGACACCTTTTGAACAAGTTCAGGGCACTATATCCTGGGCTTTAACCTTCTAATTCTTAATTCCTATATTACTGTCACTAAACACTATTAGACCTCTCTGCTACTTGGACACATTCTTAAAAGTGAACGTTAGTTTAACATCAAACATGATAATGGCACATTAGACTTGTGTCCTATACAGAATTTAATGGAGTGTCTCAGTTTTAAAATGTGATGAATCTTATACTGGAAATGGCTCAAATTCATCAGTCAAGAGACGTTTCTATTCTGTTAACACACTCCAGTTTCGATGACCCATCCACATGAATGTCCACAAAACCTATAGAGTTCTCCTAGGGCAACCAACACAATGGTTATTCCAGATCTTCCATCCCTGACTGACTGATCCAGCTCTTGCTAATCTGCTTGTCCAGCTCATTATGTTTATTTATTATGTGATGAGTATTAGGTTCTATGCTTCCTGAAGGGAAACTGCTAGAAGAACACAGCCCTGCTAAGGACAGGGGAGAGGAGGGCCTACCCACTAGCCACGGCAGTGATGGCAGGACTGAGCTGCATGCATCTGCCCCTCTCTCCAGTTTTCGGGAGGAGGGGAGGCAGCAGCCTGGCTAGAGGACAGGGAAGTGACAGAGAGATCTAGAGATTCCTCTCCAACTTGGGTTTCAGCAGCGTGCCAGAATGAGGGCATCTGTGAAGCTCAAGAGGAGGAACCCAAACCAGGTCAGGCCCGACGCTGACCCAGCCCGGTCCCCCCGGAAGTTCAGACCATCACCCTCCAGAAAGGTTTCACCTGCCCGTCCTTTATAAAGGCAAAGGATTCAACACATTCCTATGGTTATTGTGTGCAGTGTCCATCTCAAATGATGGAAAAACGAATATTCAAATTTCATGTGAAGAAGAAAACAGAGAGTTCATAAGAGCTTTTAAAGAAATGTACCTTATTCCATTCGCTTATGATTCGCAATATAATGCAATAATCATTCCCTATTTTCAAGGGTGCATTATAATATTTCCCATAGTACAGCCTGTCTCCAACAGCTATCTCCATGGCCTCCTCTGGAACATCTCTGGCCAGTAGTTCTGCAGCCACGTATCCATTGGCATCAGAAGCATTGCTAAAGAACGAGGCAGCCCCTTGAGAATCACAGGAAAACGTGCTTTGGAGAGCCAGGGGAACCACTAACACCTGATAGGAACTGGAAGGAAAAAGAAAATGTCTATCAGACTCTGGCATGTGGGACTCGTTCATTCATTTACTCCTATTTATTGAGTGGCTGCAATGAGATGAGCACTTTTCTAAGCACTGGAGATACAATACTGGACTAAAACAAAAAAAGCCCTTGCCCATGTGGGATTTAGTCTGACAGCTCCGGCAGTCAAGGAACTCCAGTTTTAAACCTACAGTGTTATTGCCAGATGACCCAGGGGGAGGGATGTCTTTGAGCTCTGGCTGCTGGGTGCCAAGGACATCCTCTTTAGCTGAGAGAAGTTGTCGCACACGTCACTGCCTGCCCTGGGCATGCGTGCATGTCATAATGTTGACCTAATCCATGGTTTTCAGGTGGGCAGACATAGCCCAGCTGTGGAAAGGGTTTAGCAGTCACATGGAGGCTGGCTGCCCACAGGACGTCATGTACTAAGCCTGCAGAAAGGCTCCAGGAGATCACATGGTAGCCTAACATGGAACTCATGTGATTGGCATTTCCCGCAGTTCACACTGAAGTTCATGTGAGATCAACGAGAAGCAAGGAGTACAAGGTCACCACGGGTTAATCCAGTCTGACGACATTCTGAAATAGCCGGAAGGGCAAAATGTCACAGGCATATTGTGAAACTGTTTCCTAACCATGGACACAGACACACACTGGCAATCAGGTGTCCTTTGGTCATGTGTTTTCTTATTTATCTCCCCAAACAGAAAACCTGTCAGTGAAAGGAAGCTGAAGAACAAAATTTCACTGAGCATGAATCAGGCCTCCCTTTTTATTACCATCTACTCAGGACATAGCTCCTGCCTCTGCCTTTAGTCATTGTCTAAACAGCTGCTTTCTCAATCAGGCTTGATAGCAGGAATCTGAGTGATTCACTCCCCTATCTTTGCAAGTCCTTACACAGGCCTCTGGCTGTGGCCGACTCCCTACTCATGTTTCCTGAGTTAAAATTTCAGTAAAGAGGAAAAATATGCATCAACACAAGATACGATTAGGAGGATTTCCAAAGCTCCTTCCGCCACATAATCCTGTTTTACCAGCAATGTACCCGTCCCGTTCCACATGCTAGTGTTCGCTGAAGGCCCACAAGTCACTGGGCTGAGCAAAGGGAGCCCTCCCCCACAGCATGTGTTGGGCTTGGCAAGTCTCCATTCTGAGCGTCACAGGTGTCCTTGGGGCCCTGATTTCCACAAAGTCTGGGTTCACTTTGGCAAAGGTTTTTTTAGGAAAGGGACAAAGGAAAGCCTGCAGGACAATGAGTTGTCACTGCCATCACCAGCCAACATTTACTAAGCACCCACTGCCTAAAAGGGATGACCTATAACAACATACTTTCCTGGGGCTCGAAGGTGTCCCTATGATTCATGGCTGTGAGGAAGAAAGTAAATGTTGCCACAGCCCCATCCTGTCCATAAGCATATCTGCAAACTCCTCTCTCATCATTCCAGGTAAGTGGTCACGTTCAAGTGCAAAGCCAAGGCTCTCTTGAACTATTCGACTCTGTACATCGCCCACGAAAGGCACTATTCATGTGGCAGAAAGCAGTCTCCGCAGTTAGTGTGATAATCACCTGAGCTGCTGGATAATTATACAGATTTCTAGCTCCCATCCCAGACCCACTGAATTCAAATCTCCCAGACTGGACTCTGAGACTTTGTCTCGCTGATAAAGCAGCCCAGGTGATCCCTGCCATCTCACAAGTGTGGGTGACACCGTCATTGAGAGAGCCCAGGAACAGGCCCTCGTCCACCCAAGTTCACCAAGTGGGGGACGAGAGCCTCGGTCCAGATCCCCGGCTTCACCGTGTGCCCCAGGCCACTGCCCTTTCTCAATAATGCACAGAGCAGACTCATGCCTGCCTCACACACTGGCCACGCTGCTACCCGCAGTTCAAATCAGATATAGTAGACGGGCCGAGGAAACCACCCCACCTGCCTCCTGGTCATTAGCCCTGAGGATGTTTTAGGGGAGCAGTCATGGCTGTTGGAAACGTGGCTGTTCCAGAAGGACTTTTCCCCTCTTTCTCACCACCACCCTTCCTTGAATGACTCACAGATCTCCACTTCCTGTTTGGGAGGCTCAGGTCTGCATAAGCCCCAAGGGCTGACTGTCATTCGGCTTTTCTTTTTGCCTTATGTCATGATTTGGCCCAAGTATCACATGTGCTCTTGCAAATCCCCTCAGGAAGTGATATCACAACTTCTGTTCTCTTTATAGCAATAGAATCACAGTGCATTCCAGGCACTTGTCAGGAATCAAGAAACAACAATTTAGGCCACATCCATTCCTGGAAAGACCTTTGAGCGTTTACTGAACTTAAACTAATGGAAAGAAAAAAAAACACAAAACTCTAAGTTTCATTATAAATGGACACACAGATAATATCTCCAGATGTTCTTTTTACAGTATCTCACACTTGGTTCTACCTTGACTGCTCTGAAGGGTCATCAGACTGACCGGGTCAAGAGAGATAGGCAACAGCAGTTAGTCAAAGGCAGCAAGGTCACTGTTACCTTCTCGACTTACTCCCGTCAGCAAGCTGCTCATCTCCACAGGCAAACCTCTCTTTTCCTCTCTAAAAAAGGGAATAATCCTGCTTTTGTAATTCCACCACGACCTTTGTAAATAAAGTGCTTAATTGAACACAGCGTCCTCCTCCAAACTACTACTCCCCCTCCTGCTACCCTGCTACTGTCTGGGATCCCAGAAGCAGTCATTAACTACGTGAAATTTCACCCATAACTCAATATGTGAATGAAGTAAAAGAATGATCCAAATGACCATTTCAGAAGCCCCCTGTCCTTAAATAAAGGAAAATATACTCTGGTTTTGGCCAATAGGATGATGCTCCTGGCTCCACCAGGCACACGTGGAGATGGGCATGTGAAGGATAACATCTGGCACATCGCCGACACCGATGAGCAAAGAAAGGCACGGGCTTAAGTTCTAGAGCTAAGCCACCCAAATGCTGGTCTCTGGCCCTTTAGAAGTCTCTCTCTTTGTTTGGAAAGGTGCTGGTTGAAATTAAGGGTCCAGTCTGTGCCCAACTATTCAAGTGCTACCACCCAGAGATTCCAAAACACTCCATGAGGATTGCTGGGCAGCCGTGGGAAAGGGGCTGCTACTGACCTGATTGGCCCGTTGCTCTCCTGGGCCTTCCTCAACCTCAGGCGTGGGAGGGGCCCTCCGTGCACGGTGAAAAAGTCTACTTCCGGAAGGGGAGGCTCTGAAAACATATGGAAAAGAAGAAAAGAGTATGATAGGATAAGTAAAAGCACGAAGAAGGTGGTCCTTGTGGGGCCATCGAAAGGAAAGTTATAATGGAAGGAGTGATGAGCATATTCCGATACATAGTACAATAGAGACGGTCTTGAAAACATGACGCTAAGTGAAATAAGCCAGACACGAAAGGACAAATATTGTATGATTCCACTTATATGAAATATCTATAATAGGCAAATTCATAGACATGGGAAATAGGTTAGAGGTTGCCAAGGATTGAGGGGGTGGGTAGGGAATGTGGAGTTAATGGTCAACAAAGTTTCAGTTTGGGGTGATAAAAACATCTTAGAAATAGGTAATGGTGATAACACTGTAAATGTACTTAATGCCAATAAATCATGTACTGAAAAATAGTTGAAATGGCACATTTTTTAAAAATATATTTTATTGATTATGCTATTGCAGTTGTCCCAATTTTCCCCTTTGCCCCCTTCCACCCAGCACCCACATTCCCACCAGCAATCCTGCCCCGCTTAGTTCATGTCCATGGGCCATGCATGTAAGTTCTTTGGCTTCTCCATTTCCTATACTGTTCTTAGCACCCCTCTGTCTATTTTGTTCCTACCAATTTGTACTTCTTAATCTCTGCACCTTTTCCCCCATTCTCCCCGTTCCCCCTCCCAGCTGATAACCCTCCACATGATCTCCATTTCTGTGTTTCTGTGCCTGTTCTGTTTGCTTAGTTTGTTTTTTAGTGTCAGTTGTTGATAGTTGTGAATTTGTTACCATTTTAATGTTCATAGTTTTGATTTTCTTTTTCACATAGAATGCCCTTTAGCACTTCATATAATAATGGCTTGGTGATGGTGAAACTCCTTTAGTTTTACCTTATCTGGGAAGCACTTTATCTGCCCTTCAATTCTAAATGATAGCTTTGCTGGATACAGTCATCTAGCTTGTAGGTCCTTGCTTTTCATCACTTTGAATACTTCTTGCCAGTCCCTTCTAGCATGCAGAGTTTCTTTTGACAAATCAGCTGACAGTCTTACGGGAACTCCTTTGTAGGTAACGCTCTACTTTTCTCTTGCTGCTTTTAAGATCTCTAACTTTCACCTTTGGCATTTTAATTATGATGTGTCTTGGTGCGGTCCTCTTTGAGTCCATCTTGTTTGGGACTCTCTTTGTTTCCTAGACTTGCATATTTCCTTCACCAAATTAGGGAAGTTTTCTTTCATTATTTTTTCAAATAAATTTTCAATTTCTTGCTCTTCTTCTTATTCTTCTGGCACCCCTATGAACTGGATGTTGGCATGTTTGGAGAAGTCCCATACTCTTCTTACACTATCCTTCTTTTTTGCATTCTTGTTTCTTTTTTCTGTTCTGGTTGAACGTTTAATTCTTTTTCATGTTCCAAATCATTGACTTCAATCCTGGCTTCAGAAGGAAGCTGTTGGTTCTTCACTGTTGGTTCTCTGTAGATTTTTCTTTATTTCACTTAGTGTAAACTTCATTTCTTTCTTTATGTCGTTGCCATACTCAGTGAGTTCTTTGAGCATCGTGATCACCAGTATTTTGAACTCTGCATCTGATAGGTTGGCTATCTCCATTTCATTTAGTTCTTTTTCTGGGGTTTTGTTCTGTTCTTTCATTTGGGCCATCAATTTGGTAGCCTCCCTGTATTTGTTTATGTGTATTAGGTAGAGCTGCTTTGACTCACTGTAAAATTGTCTTGGGCAGAGCCTTAGCTAATCACCAGAGTGGGGCAACCCACTTCATCGCTTTGTGGCTCTGTGCATGCTAGTCAAGATGGAGGCATAAGCAGACATGCTTCACCTCATTGCACAACCATGAAAAGGAATTACAACCAAATCTCTAAACAGATAACACCCAGAACCATCAGAAAACTGAACTCTATGGAAGTTTGACAACCAAGGATTTAAAGAAGCCACATTCATGCAGACAGGTAGGAGGAGTGGAGATGCAGAGATGGGGCAGAGAGGCAAGGAGATGTGTTGTGGTGCATAGAGGCAGCGGCAGCAGTAGAACAGGCACAGGTGGTCGCATGTTCACATGTGGTGGATAAAAATCAGGAGGGATACCTTGGGAGCAAGTGATCCCAGTCCTGATTTTTATCCACCACACATGAATGTGGGACTGCCCGTTCCACCCCCTCTCCACGCCACTCCTGTCTGCACTCCTCTCTGCTCCTGCCCACCTCTCCGAGACTCCGACCCTCCTACCCATCTGGATGAATGTGGCCTCTTTAAATCCTTGGTTGTCGGACGTCCATGCAGCTCAATTTTCTGATGAACTGGGGCGATATTTGTTTTGTAGTCTAGTAATTTTTGCTGTAGTTGTGCAAGGAGGCAAAGTGTATTTATCTACACCTTCATCTTGACTGGAAGACTCCAAAATGGTGCATTTTATGTTACATACATTTTACCAGAATAAAAGAAGTGACACCCCAGCACTGATGGAGGGTGGATGCTGTGGGTATTATCATTTACTTGGTGGGTAGGTACCTATTTGGTGGGGAAGACCAGCCAAAACATTAGACTTCTAGATCCTTTATAATCACACAGCTCTCTGTCCTTCTTTTGCTTCCCCCAGCAATCAGATTCCCCAAATAGCTTTTCCACTGGTAGGAGAATATACAATTTGTCTGACACCAGCGTTTAGAATCTAATTGGAAGCAGCATTCATTCACCAGCTGCCATTCTGCCTTGTGAGTAACACACCTTAGATGTCTTGAGCACTAACCAAATGTACTAGATGTGTCCTGTATATGTCTCATCTCACTTTATCTTCTCCACAATGCTATCAAGTACATGAGGTTTACAGACAGGGGGAGGAAGAGAAAAAAAGAAGCAACAAAATGTGAATGTCCCCATTTCTGGCCCTGAACCCTGCCACAGTGAAATCAAGGACTAGGAGACTGAAGTAAACTGTATTTACCCAAATAGAATATAGCTGTGGGGTAGAAATTCTCAATACAAACTTTAATAAATAAACCCTTAGACCTTCGTAGATAGTTTTTAAAGCTCTACTGAGTAAGTGATTCATACATCACCATTTGACACACATTAATTAGCCACCTCTATACACCAGGCACCATGTGAGGCTGTAAGAAACAGCCATCGAAGTCATGGTTCCTGCTTTCCAGGAGTTCAGAGTCTGATTGTGGAGATGGTTTGGGGACCTGCAATGTGTAGAGGAGCCATGAGAAAGTGATACACCTGGCCAAGGGCAGGAGGGCGAGCCATCGAACACAGAAACAGATGCACGCAGGGGAGGAGGTGAGAGAGAGCAGGCAGTAGGTCAGCGTGGCGGAAAGCTGAGTCCAGCATAAAGTGAAAAGTGTGGGCAGAGGTCAGCTTCGAGGTCCTAGAAAAAAGAAGTCATTTATGACTCCTGGACAATGTGTGTTTTAGAATCACAACAGAGATGGCTCCTGGGAAAAAGAATTGGAAAAGAGCACATGCAGGTCACCCAGGATCTACGTGAGGAGTGCCAGGGGTCTGAGGCAAGTGGTGGCCCTGAGGACGGAGGCAGCACGCAGATGCGAGAGTCCCTCGGGGCAGGGGCGGACCAGAATGTGGAGGAAGACGAGGAAGGGAAGGGGAAGGAATCTGGGCTTAGGTTTTGGCGACTGAGTCAGCGGTGATGACCTTCGTCCAGGTCTGGGGGGGAAAGTTCAGAAGCAGCTCACTACTAGATGTGAAGTTTGAAATGCTTGTTGAACTGTCTGGCAGATGGTGGAAATATTTTGCGTTGGCCAAAAAGTCTGTTTAGTTTTTTTCTGTATAGTAAAAGGCACATTTTTCACTTTCACCAATAAGTTTATTGAAATGGATATTTTGACTGTGTCAGCTATCTCCTGCTATTGGCCAGGGGTGCTGCTAACCATCTTCCAATGCATAAGACAGCCCCACAGCAAAGCATTATTTGGCCACAATGTCAATAATACCAAGAAACTTCACAAACCACACCTGACATGTTAGATCAGTCACGGCACCTTGTCCATACACTGCACAGATCATTTTTTAGCATTTCAGTTGCATTTTTACCTTTCTTGAAATAATAAAGCATAATATGCTAAAAATATTATATATTTCCTTCCATCTTCAATATTAAAATAGCTGCACAAAAATTCACCAATTGTGACTTTTTTAATGCATGCTGATACTTTGACAGCTGTCATAATACAATCTGACAAAGTTGTTTCCAATAAAGTTAAAAACAATTAAGTGCTACTAGAACCATCTTATGGGGGGGGGGATGAACTTTTTGGCCAACCCAATACGTGTGAATGCCTCTCAGCCTCTTGGCTAAGACCAAGTGCAGAAATACAGGTCCAGAGCTTAGGAGCACACTGTGGGTTGATACGCAGTCAGTCATTAGGAGAAGAGGCTACGGTTACTGGGGACCATGGAAATGCGTCTGAGAAAAGCCGAGGGCCCGGAGCAAACCACCGAGCACTGCGGGTATCTAAGACAACGAGGGAGAGGGAAAGCCCCCTGTAGCTTTTGTTAAACAGCACTAAATCTGCAATTTCTTCCAGAGTCACCCAGGCACAGTCGCACAGATTACGCATTAAGCCTGTGGGATTGGCAGGGACCCTAGAAGGACCTGGAACAGCCCATGCTTACAGTCAAGGCCTCACACAAAAGTGCTGAAGGTCTCTGCCATCTCCAACAGGTGTGCAGAAAGGGAGTCCAGAACGGACACACCTGAGCAGGACCGACGCCAGCATCCTGCGGCGATGATGGGGAGAGGGGAAGGCAGTTTGAAGAGCCCTGCCCCATGCCCACCAGGAATGTGCTCCTTCCAGACTGAGAACAGCTGCCCCCACCCTTCATGCGGTCACTGAAATGCCCTTTCCTTTGCGGCGTTGTGTTCGTTTTGTTGTCACAGTAAAGTAGGTGGTTTTCATCACATGTTTCCTGTTCTCTGCCCAGTGGGAGATGAACCGTTCACTCTTTCTGCCTGTGTGCCCCCTCCTCG